TGCCAGTTAGTAGCGCGAGTAGCGGCTCTACGACAACTAGCCACTCCATGTGAGATATCGCGCTACATTCAGCGTTTTTCAACTTTCACCTTTTATACTTTGTATCTAAGCAAGTCAGGATCGATGGTGACTGTGACACATTAACTAATATTGGAGTTACAGAGGTAGGTTTAATGCTCCTATGTATTATGGCTAGTAAATGTTACCGCCCGTTAACATGATTTTATTACATACTATTTTTTCACAATTGTATACATTTAGCTTCGTTACGGATTTAGTAGAATTATGGGTAAGTATGATTTTCTTCTAAAAATTTGCTTAAGTTATATACAATAAACATATCGACAGAATGTTCTATCATCAGGTAAGATGTGGGTCGCATGCGTAGCGCACGGCGCGGCGGCGCGGCGGCGAGGCGGCGAGGCGGCGCGGCGGGAACGGCGCGACTGAACCTGACGCCGATGTTGTGGACTGAGCCTGAGCACCGAGGTCCTGGAGTGGAATGAGGCGCGCTCGGGGCGGCGGTGGGGGCGGGAGCGGGGCAGGGGTCGAACGGTGAGACCGGATGTAAAATGAGCAGTCGACTATAAATATTTTTACTATAAAGTACCTTGTAGACATCCTCGTACTAATATACTTTTAATTAAAATATTTTTTTATTTCATCAATGTACATTGAAATGTTGTTCACATTTTCATTTAGTTATATTTCCATTTAATTGCCACTAATGCAGATTACACACAAGTTTAACTGCAATATTTCTGATTAGACTAGCTATTTTGAAAGGTTTTGCCAAAGTACGCAAAAGGTTTAATATACTCAGCAGCGAGCGGCGGCGGAATGTCCCTGCGCGCGCTGCCACGGCCGCTGCATGCAGTATTGTACAGGCAGGGCACAGGCGCTCAGCCCTCGCCCCTCGCCCCTCGCTCTCACTTGAATTCACTTCAATGCTTCAATGCCCTCCAGTAAAAGGATCGCAACAGAGAAATGTTTCTACCTTATAATATAGATCTTCTAGAGTGTTTAATACTTGTTAAAACTCAATCCCCATGCCCCTTGTAGCAGGTGAACTTTTTCGGTTACATTTATTGATTGTGATCGTGGTATCGTCTGAACTATGATACATATCTAAAAGTTTACATGGATGGATGTTTGTTAGAGTTTGTAGCCTAAACTGCGGATCGGATCTCGATGAAGTTTGACATAGACGTAGAGGATAGACTGGAAGAACATATAGGCTTCTCACTTTTGTTTTTTCTACTTCCACGCGAACGGAGTCGCGGGCGATAGACCTTTAAAATAACGCCGCAACTAACGTGCCACTTTCATTTGCTTTTTCTAAAACAAACAGTGGCTACCGTGAGAAAACCGTAAAAGATAGAGATATGCCGTCGCTGACTTTTTGTAGTAATTACTACAATCTTCACTTTCTCGTATAGCTTTATCGATTTAGACCGCGACATTAAAATAATACGCTCATAATCAGAAATACAATGTTTATTCCATAAAATAAAACTTAGCTATGCAAAAATAATATAGCTTTATAACGGCGATAAAATTATTGTATTCTGTTCAGTAGTATTTCAATACTTATATAACTTCCAATACAAAAGTTCTAGATTTAATGTATAATTTATAATAGAAAGATTAGGCGCAAAGCGCAGGCTAGGCATCAAGGCGCATCGCAAGGCAGGTGACGGTGCGGCAGCAGGCGGTCCTCGGCCACGGCACGAATGCGCGGCGCGTCCAGGCGCAGCGCCAGCCGGCCCTCGCTGCAGTGCAGGTCGCGCGCGCCCAGCCGCGCGTACAGCGCCCGCGCCGCGCGGTTGTTCTCGAGCACGTGCCAGTCGATGCGCGTCGCTCCGGCGGCAAGTGCGCGCGCGCACACCTCGCGCAGCAGCGCGCGCCCCACGCCGGCGCGCCGCCGCCCCTCCGCCACGTACAGGTCCTCGATGTAGAGCGCGCGCCGCGTCCAGCTGGAGTAGGCACGGTTGCAGAGCGCGTAGCCCGCCACCTCGTGCCCCAGCTCGGCCACCAGCAAGAAGAACCACGGCGGCTGGCTGTCGAACCCGTCCGCCGCCAAATCTGTCCACCGCCAGGCCGAGCCTCTCATTACTCCTCAATGACAAATGTGTTGGCGCAGAACGCAACCATCATCGTTATACGTACGGTGTCAATGTCAAAATCACAAAATAGTCGTTTAGTAGGCACACACAAATTGATGGAAAAGTATAAATTCGATATTAAAGGAATACCTAACAAAATCCTTCACAAAGGCGGTTCCTACGATCGGGTAGTAACAGTTCCATCTATACCTATGCCTGCTAGTATTCTGTAGTAAACATGGAGCAGACATGCGCGTGCTCCCTCGCGCCCGGCGCCCTGTGCGTTTTCCACTAATTCCTTCCCATCAAATATATTATTTATTATTTCATCTCCGTATTATCAAACGGATTCGAGGCCGCTATAACCGGACGATATCACATAGCATTATAGCAAACAAGTAAGAAGTGCTTGTGCGTGTGTACGGAGCAGCTGCTCCTTCCCCGCCCCACAAATCACGTTCTTCCTGCGCTCGGGACTGCTTGTTTCCAAACGGTTTTTGAAGGGCATCAGTGACTGCTCACCCTCTACGCTGAGCTGCGGTCCGTCTGGCATTCCCTCGAACGCCGCCAGCTCCTGCAACCGAACATTTGGTTAAGAGCTGTAAGGAGATTTCCCGCTCTTAGTGTCATAGACGCTTTTTATGATTTTTTACTATTTTTATCAGGATTGATTCTTTAGATCTACCTTCACTAAAAAAAAACAACTTATAGTATGACAATAACTTAGTTTTTTGAAAATACTTTAAATACTACCTGGTTCATGTAAAACGAATCTAATCTGACAACGTGTAATAGCGCCATCTACTGTCGTCATTATTAGTATTGAAACGCTCCAAACAAATGCAATGAGATTAACAGCTTACGGCGAAAGATGTCGCTATAGCTAGCAGTGGCCGACCATAGAATGAAATATGATAACCGATACCTGTCTCATCTCCTTACCCGCCTAACCAAATCTAATTAAATTAAAACCAGATCTCTAGTAGTTATGACTCGAAATATCCGAGTTTCTTACCAGACATAACAATCACGATAACATAATTGTATAATAGAAGATTTAGATATATCTGTAATAATGTAATATGATTGAGTGCAGGTAGAGTAGATATTGTATAACTCGTGTGTGTAACTCACGTGTATCATGCGATGCACGGCGGGCAGGTCCTCGCGCCGGCCATCGCGCACCACCAGGTGTACCGGCGCGGCCGCAGCCGGCGACGACGACATTGCGAATTGCGAATGCGAGAGCGAATCTGCGAATGGCGTTAGCTGCCGTCAACCGTCAATGTCAACTGACTGCACCGCCGCGCCTCCCCGCGCCACGCCGCGCAGCGTGCTTCAGGTGGGGCGGGACACGTATTTGCTCGAACAGGTTCGAGGAACAATTATTACACTCACCTTCATAAATATGCATTTATAAAACTTTGCAAACTTGTATCCTTGCTTTCGGTAAGTAAGTATTTAGGAACGTATTCATTAATTGCATTTATTCATGGTCGAAAGCATACGAAGGTATTCAAAGATATATCAATATACTGCAGTTTTGCAAATTCTTCCGACTGCACTAATAACTGAATTGACCCACCGACCTCTACACATGGATAGACTATATATAGGTCGTGGTATGTAATTTTTCCATTTTGGCGCTGACGGGGCGGTGGTGTGAATTCGAACTAGTAACAGAGATAAAATTAACTCTGAGCAAAGATTTCTAAATGATGTACATATCAACGAGGCAGTAATCAAAATTTTCTACATTCACTGAAAGGTACTATATCAGTTAACAAGTACAGTGCCATCTCTTGTCCTTGTATTCATATGTAATACAACATTTTACAAAAATATAATAAGCTCCATCTTTTATTATGTAATAAACTAAACAGAATAAAATATCAAAACTTAAACGTTATTTAATGACACCTAATGACAATTAATTCAAATGCGATGAATTACATTGACATGTGGTTTCAGATAGCGTTAGTGATGATTCTGTGAAAATGTTTCCAAGTGAAGTGTCAAGTCAACTGTACCTCTATACATTTGAATCTCTTTAACTTTGAGTAACGAGATTGTCCGCGAAGTTTTCTACCTTGTCATAATTTGTAAAACAAAGTTTTAAAAAGCATGGGCATCTTTTAATCTATAATTAGATTGTTATGAATATGGGTGATTAGTCATAAAAATTACATGTCTTCGTGGTTTTATGATTTTCCAACAGATGGCGTTAAAAACCAAGAATGTAAAAATTAAACAAAATACACTAAAAGCAACACATTCTCAATAAAAACAATACACTAAAAAGTAACGAAATAATTCCTTGACAATAGTAAACCTCCCTCATTGTAGCTGTTATGTCTATATTGTACAATTATTATTACTTTGATGTCGGTGTCTAAATAAATTGAAATGACTGGGTGAAAGTCTAAATCTAAGGAGTAATAGTTTGGAAACTTTTTTACAATTAATTTTAGTAAGATCTAGAAAGTTTCTTTGGTCGCCCTCATTAACAACATGCACTTTTAAGCCGAGAGCCGAAACGAATGAAAATCTGTATTATCCAAGCAACGGCCGAGTCGGTCGCGGGGTCGCGGGGTCGCGGGCGTACGGCAAACGGCAACATGCTCATGTCTCAACAGTTTGAAATTTTGTTAAGTGCACATCCCATTACCTTATCACAGCGCGGTAATCGTCCACCAGTATGCCACTACTACGTGCCGGAGTGCGTCGGGGCTCCTAATGGACAATGCTAGGCGATGCTTTTACTTTCGCAGCTTTTTACGAGTTAATGTCGTAACATTTTTGAGATTCAGGTAATGAAATGCTACTGCTCCCTGTCTCGAGTCAAAGCTTTTTTGTTTCGCCGACGACATGAAAGTAATGGCACATTATCATCACCATCCAACACCATCACACCATCCGCCATTTACGCATACATCATAACAGCAATTTGTACTGCACCGTGCATGTTGACACCATTGCAAAGAAGCTCACAGGCGCTGGGTTTTGTCTTGCACCCCGTTAAGTAAATGCTTTATTGAAGCAAGGCCTTTTTAAATCATCATCATCTCCTTATCCTATTCCCGTAGGGTCGGCGCAACAGGTTTTTGTCCTCCACATAACTCTATCATACGTCATCTCAGTCATCACTCCCTTTTTGATCATGTCACCTTTTACTCAATCCATCCATCTCTTTCTAGGTCTACCTCTACCGATGTACCCTTCCACACTCATAACTAACGTTCTCCTTGTAACATGCGATTCATCCCTCCTCATAACATGCCCATACCATGCTAACCTTTTACTCCTAACCTTCTCTATTATGGGGGCTACTCTCAAACTTCCTCTAATATACTCATTTCGTATCTTATCCATTCGTGTTACCCCACACATCCATCTTAACATTCGCATTTCTGTCACATGTAGTCTTCTTTCATCCGTCCCTTTTACTGCCCAACATTCAGATCCATACATCATGACAGGTCTTACGACGGCCTTGTAAATTTTCCCCTTTAATTTAAGTGGAATTTGAGGGTCGCATATTACTCCTGTGACCTGTCGCCATTTCATCCATCCCGCTTTTATTCTATTTGTCACGTCATTTTTAAATACATACCTATATCTCTACTTACTATGCTATTATAATAAAGCGTAAACACACACTTTGTTGCCTAAGATGTCAGCAATTACAACATATTTTTGGATAGTTCTTTTTTCTAGTAGAAAGCCCTACACTTGAATCACGCTTTAGGCTATACATTTTTAAGCCATTAAACTTAGGGGGTAAATATTTTGGGTAAAAAAAAGAAAAAAAGCAAGGTTGTCATGGTTTGTCATTTTGTCATGTCATTTTGAGATTTTCAATTGACAATTTGACACATGTAAACAATAAAAAGAATTTTCATAATTGTATGCGCATGAAGTGGCACGGGAACACCTAGTATGGTATACAGTACATATCAGAAGCTATCCAGATCAACTAATCAACTATGCAAGTGTGGAATGTTCGATACCACAAATACGTACACAAATACTACTTATAGTGAATACTCAGAAATTCTTATTTAGTTACTTGTATTGGCTTTTATCAAAATAAATGCTTATGCCTCTGAAGTCTAACTGGTATTTTAACGTAGAAATTAACAAAAAAACAACAGTTTTAATTATGTTTTGTTTATGTAACTTGTTACGTTTTAATGAAAATATTAAAATTTAGATTTTCTTTTTTTAAATTGCCGATTTTCATATTTTTTGGTATGCAAAATTACAAGAGATTGTTGCCCTCGACTACTTCAAATCGTTCTTTTTTTTATAAAAAGCAAACAAGAGGCAAAAGATTTTTTAAAGTTTTATCTATATGCGCAGTTGGGCGCAGTTTTTTAAAAACTTGTAGGAAAAAAGTAAGCGTAAAAAAATTAAATAACAGCTTCTCAAAGTTGGAGAAAGTACTTAATTTTATTTTACGAAAATTTTCGGTGTCTTTCATTTATTTTTTTGTCGTGTGAATTGTTGCCAAAAAACTATTAAGCTTGTTCAAGAAAAATATATCGCCGTCTATATTTTTTGGACGCACAAGAAAGTTTTTGTCGAAAATCCGATTTTTCCAAATTTTTCATACAAAAATAAATTACTTCGAAACTACAGCAAATGGGGCGCCTTACTTTGCGCTTAAACGATAGCTATTATGATCCCCTATCTCCACAAAGCTTGTGATCCGTGCGCTGAGCGTCACCCTGTAAATTATTGATCATTCAATGTTAATTATATTAAAAACAGATGAGCTGATGATTCGATCACGGATCGAAACATCTTTATTATCTTACAATCAACGATTTGATTGTACGAGTAAGATAATAAAGAAAAATGTGATATTGTACATAGGTGTTGGTGTTGATTCTGGGGTGCAAGGGTGCAAGGGTGCGAGGGCACAAGGGAGCAGTGCGGGCAGCGCCGCAGCGCCAGTGCTGCGGTGCGCGTGCCGTCGGAGCTGCGCGTGCGCAATGCACGTCAGTTTGTAAGTGCGGGAGAGGAACGAATAATGATTTCGTAGTGGTGTGAGCGGTGATCGGTGAGCGGCTGAGAGGCTGGGCTAGGGCTGGAGCAAGCC